TTTTTTAATACGAATTTAATTTATATTATTTTCTTATTTTTCATTTAATATTCTTTAACTTTATTTATCTAGTTGTGGCTTATAATATTTGTTTTATGTATTATTTATTCATTTTATTTTTTTTATTTTTTTTTTAATTTCAACTTTATTTATTTTACTTCTATTTATATCATTCTATATTATTTTATTTCATTTCATATAATTTTATTTTATTTATATTTTAATTAGTTTTTTATTTTATTTAGTTTTTTTTCGATATTAGTTTCATTTATATTTATATCAATTATATTTTATTATTTTATATTTTATTTTCTTCGTTTATTATATGTATTTGTTATGTGATTTGTATTTTGAAATTTAGCAGGTCACAGCGATCATATGGTTTCTGTGTTTTTTATTCTCTCACGTTTTTCGCTCACTTTCGTAATGCCAATTCAAGTTTTATTTTTTTCGGCAGCACTCATGCACACCGCACACATTTAAATTATATACTACTTTTTACAAAAACTGGTTTCCAATTGAGAATTTTTGTTTGCATTAAACAGTGGTTTTATTGTTACTCACATTTTTTAAATTTTTTTTATTCGGAAATTTACCAACTTTTAACAACTATAAAAAAGAAATATATTTTTTTATTGGAATTTACACACTTCTTGGAATGTTTAATCCATTATTTAAACTCAAACTTCAATTGAGTGCTGCTCCAGCGGATTTAGTCCCGGCTTGTAATTACTTTGAAATTTTAGAGATTATTTTAATTTGCCTTATTTAAATTTATTTTGTTAATTTTTTTTCATTCCATTTTGTTTAATTTTTGGTTTTATTTTGGTCTAATATAATTAATTTTTTTATATTTTCTAATTCTATTTTGATTATTATTATTTTTTCATACGACTACATTTCATTTTATTATATTTAATTTAATATTTATTTCGATTTTTGTAGTTTTCTTTTATTTACTTTAAATATTTTTAAATTAAAAACACACACCTTTTCAAACCATTCGTCGAATATATTTTTTGTATATGTATATATTTTTGCACCGCTGTATGACTGTCCATACATGTATGTGTATGTATGAATTTAACTAGATATCTATATATAAGCACTCACGATGCTGCTGCTGCTGATCGCCGCTGATCACCGCTGTTTACGGTAGCGTTACACGCACGTGCATATAAACACCTTTTTATAGATATACACTTCTACACATATGCATTTACATACATACATACTTATGCACTATGGTATTTTAGTGTAACTGAGAAATAAAATATAAAAATTCGTACTTTGGAATTTCTTTGGTTTCCACTAACGATTTAGAAATTAATTTTTTTGTTTGGATTCTGATATATATTATTACTTACAGATATACAAAAACATATTTGCATATATTATTTCTATTTTATTTTTAATACTTTAATTAATTTTAAATGCTTTAATTTATTTATTTTGTCACCCCGCTGTCTGTGTACGTTTGTATGTGCTTTTTAATATATATATATATGTATGTATGTATATTTTTCTAAATGATTATATTTTATACATATTTTTCTAGCACTTGTTTGTGTTGTTGTTGTTAGTGCTAGACCTATCTAATGTTTGCTAACTGTTGGTATCGTTCACTACACTACACTTAAGCACACACTTCACACGCGACGCCGTTCTGCTCTACGCTTCGTATCTAAAAAGTTTTTAATTTTTACTTTTTTTGATATGAGAAAAAATAATTTTTTTTTCGCAGCAAATCGTCGTTTTCACCAACGAAACCGTTCACGTCGAATATCTCTGCGATACTGAAATCTATGAGAATCGACAAGCGAACTCGAGCAGTGGGAAATAGCACTCAACGGCACACAGATACTCATGTAACATTCATATGCATACATATGCACAAAAACCAAACAAAACACAATGCGAGGCAAATTGGTCGTGTTTATATGTAAGTATGTACTTGTGCTTGTATGTAGAGCTGCCGAAAAAGTCAACGGCACAGTTACACATGCACGCACACATGGTAAGGAAGAAATATTTATGCCTAGTTTGTTGTTGTTGGCATGCTATCTGCTTTTCAGCGGCGAATTTATCTGTCAAAACTCTACTAAGAATTACACTCTGGTAGCGAAGAAAAAGAGATTGAAGCGAAAAGGAACTGAGTCATTCACTCTCATTCGCACTCGCACTCGACTCGACAGCTGCTAGATGGCAATATCTTTGTAAAGGCAACCCTTAAAAGCACTCAGTAAATATAACCAGCTCTAACTTACAGGAAAATATTTCAAAAAGCATCTCAAAGATATTCTTCTCGCAAGTAAATAAACTCAAAATGACACTCACGAGCAACTTTCGGAGTGAGTTAGGAGTAAAGACTCAATCGCTTAAGAAATGAGTAGATACTCAGCACACTCTCAGCTGTTTTATAGACCGGCTATGCAACAGTTTAAGTCGAGTTCGCCGCACTTTCAACAAAAAAAAAAAATTGAAAAAAGAATGGTGTCTTTTGTTCTGTTTTTTTTTTTTTTTTGCTTTATTTGCTTTTTTATCAGCCGTTACTCGCACTTCTTCTCTGTGCTTCCTTTCAATTATTTTTTAATTCATTGCTTACTTCTTTGCAAACATGCACATATGTATGTATGCGCTTTTTGTGCCATATGCTGCTGTTTCATCGCTTACCTCTGCTCTTTGTATTGCTTTTGCTTTGTCGTTGGCATGACCATCATCGCTATCTTCTTTTGTGCTCTTGTGTTGGCGTTTAATGAACTCCTTCGTTGTGCTTCTGTTGTTTTGGCTTTTCTTTTCTTTTTATTTATTTTTGATTTGAATTTGTTTTGCTTTTTGATTTGTTGCTTTTAGCCTTTTTATTTCTTTGATTATTCCTTACTTCTATCAGTGATTTTTTTACGGTCGCATTTGATTCGATTTTTTATTTTTGAGATATTTCCAGGCTCAAAGAGATCTGGAAAAACAATTCACTGTTTTGATCGGCTTCGTCTGCATGCGAAATCCTCAGCCATCAAGTTCACCAGCTGAAGTGTACCGGCTCGAGCTGAAATTGAGAGTCGACGCCATCAAAATTCCGACAATTAATACCCTCATGCTACTGGGTATCACATTACAAAACGACATTTCTTTACTCCTTTAAAAAGTTGTAACAAAGCCCTCAGCCTCAGCCGATGACTCGCAGCTTGCAAGGCATGCAGCCAGCCGGTAATTACTTAGGTTGAGGCAGAAGCTGTGAGCCTGTCAAAATACCGCTTGTAGGATAGTATCGTCGATACGATCTAAACAGCCATATACTACCTAGACACCTCAGGAAGAAATTACTACACCCAAAGGACTACATTTGACACCACAGAGAAGAACTACCGGCCAAGTCGACAAACCGGCAGACCGTGAAGGCCATTTACAGAGAGTAAGTTAACTCCTGTATAAACTCTGTATAGGAGAAATAGCGTGCTTAGAATTGAAAGACAACCCATAGAGCTACCTCGTGAGCTTCGGGCAATACTGCCATGATTAAGGTCCACATAACCACCGAAAACTACTCATAGTAGTTAAGCAAGCCACTATAACAACAACTTCGTCAATATTGCCTTCCCAAAAACAAAGTCTAAAATCAGCATAAATTTGGAAGTCTGTCTCGGAAGAAAATCTAGATGCGTCCAATCGAATAGTTCCTAATAACTGATTCGATGAGTAAATATATGATTCAATAATCTTCTTTAAAGGACCGGTGGCGTTCACACCCAAACTTGTCTGAAACGATACACTTAGTGAGCACAAGGCACATCTCCTAAGTAAAATACCAGCTCTTCTTTTCTCAGGTTGTACAGAACTCTATGTTATACTTAGTTACGGGGACATCTCAAGGTATAAATATTTATTGGATGGAGAGAGGAGAAAAGGATAACTCGAGAATAGTAGTGGGATGATCTATGTATATTGTATTTTGCCAGTTGCTCCTTATGTACCACTGAAAACTGAAAAAATGTCAAGTATTGACATTCTCTTTTTGCTGAAAACAGGGAACAAAATAGCTTTGTTGTAGGTCCACTCAGAGAATTTTAAAATATTTCTCAGCACAAAAATATGAAAAAGTTGAAAAATCGCAGGGTATAAACCACAGACATATTTCAGAACTTTGACGCTGAATTAATTTAAAATATCCAATGTGAAAGTTCAATTTTTATTCTTATATACATGTATATGTATGTACATCAATTCGCATACATAAATTCAAAACCAGCTATGATTTTTATACCCGATTTTGATTTTATTCCACGACTCCGGTCAAAGTCACGTTTTTAAACTACTAAAAAACACATGCTAACCATGCCACGGCTCAAGCTTATACGTAAATATGTGAGTAGAAATATTTATATGTATACTTAGATATACAAGCAAAAGCTTGCAATAGCATTTTTGTTCTTTTCCACTTGTTGTTGTTAAGCTACACTCAAACTAAGATATAATCATTTAAAAAAGCACCTTCGAAAGCTTTCACTCAGTTTTTAATGATTATTACAATGAGCGGAAAAGAAAGCTTTTAGAGCAACAATTTTTGAACAAATAATATTTAAAATGCCGGTAAAAAAGCACAAATTAGTCATGGAAAGCGAATATCGCGCCACAGGCGGGAAATCAAAAGCAAAACAAAACAAATGAAATTCACAAAAAGCTGAAAAGTAAGCGGAAATATGCTATGCTGACAGAATTTTTAGCCGGCGATAAACGGAAATGACCGTGAAGATTGTAGCGGTGTTCATTATTGAGTTTACACACCTATTTGTTTCTTGTTTTTCCTTTTTTTTGTATACTTACTTTATATATGATTTAATTTCATTTTTTTAATTTATTTTATTTTTATTACTTTATTGCATATTATTTTATTTTATATTATTTTATTTTATTTTATTTTATTTTATTTTATTTTATTTTATTTTATTTTATTTTATTTTATTTTATTTTAGTTTATTTTATTTTATTATATATTAGTTTATTTTAATTTTTTCTCGAGTTTCGGTATTTTTTTATTGATTTTCTAACACTGTAAACTTTTATATGTCAAAATAATAAAAAATATTTCTGATTTTAGTTAAATTTAATAAGAATTTCTATAATAGTTTTGGAAAATGAATTTCGAAACACGCGTTAAATACGATAGCGAGTCGAATATTAAGCGAGCTCTCAAATCAATCTCCATCTATTGCGTATTCATTGTAATGACCACAGTGGGTAAGTGTGCTCACTAACATCATCTGGCATGCTTAATAAATTTCACTTTATTTTGCAGTTGCCGTCTCTGCCCGCCACCATTACATGTACTTTTTCAATAATGCCATCAAACGGCACTTCGTGATCTACGAACGACACGTTACATACAATGAATGGTGGTCGGCATTGGCGGAAGTTTATGTGCCGTTGGTGCTGGATACAGGAAACGGTCTATCGTCTAATAACAACGACAACAGCAACAATACCACCGACAATCGGAGCACTAAACGAAGTGCAGCACATGGCACTGAAGAAGAGATCAAGATCTTGCAGGAGAACACACTCCTCGGAACACCACGTATGCGTCAAATACGTGTTGACCAAAGCGATTGTGTGGGTCCAAAAAGTTTGGTAAAACATTTTCACAACATATGTTATCCAGAATATTCGTATTTGGTACAGAAAACAAGCGGTGAACATATTGGGTGAGGTCATTGTTTAGTTCTTCTTTTCTTAACTGTGAATTAATATATATTTTTTTCTAATTTTCAGTACGGAATTTCGTTCCTCAGCTGAATTGGGTACAATGCCGTTAACCGGTCGCATGCACACCTATTACGGTGGTGGTTTTGTACAGAGCTTGGATCGTAATTTGGACGAGTCGCTCTCGCTGATTGACTCTTTGGCTCAACTCGAATGGTTGGATCGTGGCACACGTTTAATGATTTTCGAATTTACGCTTTTCAATCGGAATACGGATTTATTTAACAATGTGAAGTGAGTGAAGAAATTTTTAAGCTTTTTTCGATACATTAAAATCCGAACTCTCGTAGGGGTTCACTTCAATGCGTGACTGCAGAAAAAAGTCTCTCAGATTTATAAAGTTTTGAAAAATTCGTACATTAGCAGTCACAAATATTATGAGCTCCTCAAATGTAGGCAATAAATTCTGTTATCGGGGCATCAGGTATAGGGAGGTCTTTTAAAAAGATCATTATTCAAGGAAACTTTAGGTAAATCTGCATTAATAAATGCGAAAAATGCTTTAAACTCAGAAAATGGAGAAATTCACGACACCTCATAACTTTTCAGACTTGGAGAAAAAAATTTGGAATGAAATCAGGTAAAAGAAAGAAAGTAAATGCAAATTCAAAATTAAGCTATTTTAATATCTTGAATTAAATCCTAAATGTAGGCAACGAATATTTTAGATGTTGAATTAAGTTAGCATTCTAAAACTGTAGGGTTGCAGGAAAACGTGGCGCCACACAAATACGTATGAATAAAATAGTTTTGGTTTTTATGTTACACCAAAAATGTAGGCAATGTAGCAGTTGCCTACCGTTAGGCGCAAAAATAATTAATTTCAATTTTGAAACAAATCAATGATTTTGTATTTCCAGAATCATTGGCGAAGTACCCGAAACGGGTGGTGTCATACTCTATTTACGTGTACAAACTGTACAGAAGCACGCCGTCTGGACGGGTAGTATTTGGATAATACTTTCAGCAATTGTTTTTTATCTAATGGCGCTATATTACTTGGTTGGAGAAATCTTGGAATTAAAGAGGCGTGGACGAAAGGCGTATTTCAAGAATTTCTGGAACTTAGTGGATATAAATATATTGTTGGTGGGTAGGAATATATATGTGTTTATTGAATTATAGAATTTTGTCCATTTCTGCTTACTCCCATTTCTTCCGCAGCTCGTTTTCATTTCTTTTAGTTATAATATCTTCCATCCGGTTTATTTGCATTATTATATGAAGGAAGCTCTTGTCAAACATACTGAATATCATAGTTTGGATTTGATTTGTTGGTTAAATACACATTATATGAATTTAGTTGCCGTCTTGGCGTTTTTGGTGTGGTTTAAAATTTTTCAATTTTTCACATTCAATAAAACATCGCTGCAGCTGAATGCGACTTTTGTGAAGGTAACTATTTTTGGATAGTATATATAAGGCTTTGAGAATAGTTTACTAGGATAAAAGCGCCAAAAGGTATGCAACGTTTTTTCTACATCGTTCGTATTAACAGTTTGTGGAGAAAAATTTAGTTTTAATTTTAAACAATTTTTAAACTTATTATAAGCATATTTTTCATAATTTTTTCCAGTGCTATCGCGATCTACTCAGTTTCGTTCTCATTTTTATCATACTCTTCTTCTCATATGCTATCCTCGGCATGTTACTCTTCGGCCATACGCATGAGGACTTTTTCGTGTTCCCCATTGCCTTTTGGAGCGTAATGCGCATGGTTCTAAGCGATTTCGATTATGTAGGCGTCGAGCAGGCAAATCGCGTGCTGGGCCCAATATACTTTTTCTCTTTCATACTGATTGTATATTTCATACTAATTGTGAGTAGTGAGTGAAAGGAAGCACAGAGAAGAGGCATATATTTTCTATTTAAATTTCTCATTTCTCTCCCCAAGAATATGTTTCTTGCCATTATTTTCGATACTTTTCACGATATAAAAAAGTATGAAATACCGTCCGAGCATAAGCAGCTTCCACAATTTTTCCGAAAATATTGGGACAAAAGTCGTGATGGTGGCCGGCGTGCGCTGAATGCGATTGGACTGTGTAAGCGGGGTAAGCAAACGCGGAAAAATATCGAGCCTGTGCGTGAAATGCAAAGCGATAATGAGCCACCATTTCCACCTGTACCGAAGCCAGAGAAGAAGGTGAGAGTTTCAAAAAAGGAGCTACTGCGAGAGTGAGTTTTAAGTGAATTTATTCATTAGTTAAAGAAATACAATTTTATTCGCATATTTCCAGCTATTTCGAGACAGTAGAAAATAAAGAAGATGCCGTGCAAATTGAACGGTTTGTTTACTCTTTTTAGAATTAAAAGAAATACACATACATATATCCATGAGTAAAGCTTTATTATACATTTATTCTCTTGCCTCCCATCCTTAGGCTCACAAAACATATTAACGCTCTGGAGGGGCTTTTGGCTAAAATGAGCGATGACATTAAACGTTTGGAGGCTGAAACTTCAGATCCGAGCACACGCCCAGAGCCACCAACACAGCCTAAGGCACCACCACGTCTGAAGGTCTTCATAAATCGCAAAAAGTAACTTTGTTCAGTACTTTTTGATTTTGAAATGGTATTATTTGATTCTTGAAAACAAAATAAAAGCAGTTACAATTAAAACGTGAATACTAGAATCACAGAAAATATGTTGCCACACCAGTGTGTTAATTACATTTATTTTTTATTATTAAATTATTATTTAGAAAATTTTCTTTTTAATTTCGAAAAAACCCATTTACTACTTACCAATCTTACGACGCGCGCGCCAAAGCACGGGCGGTGCTGTACTATTTGGTGATGCCAGTGTGAAGCTTTTTAGTCAGTGTAGAAACTGTAATGAAAAAGAAAAGAAATGCTTTTTTTATAAAAATTTTTTAGAAAATTTAACTAAAAGTTAATTAAGTTATTGCAGTCCAATCTATTATTATTAAATTAGCAGGCGGAATGCCCTTTCAATAACTCTAGTTACTCAAAAAGTAAGAAACTTTAGTTGTACTCAAAGCCGGTCAACCACTGTTGCCAATTTTCTACGTGATTTGATTTTGATTTCTTATTTTCAATATTTTATTCAATAATTTGTTTTGTATCTAATTAATAATTAAAAATAATTTGGAAAATAACCATTCAAACTATTTTCAATATTTTAAGAGAAAAAAATATATATAAAACATATTAAATAGGGTACCAAAGAAACAATTTATCATTTGAAAATCAGCTCTCGTTGTTTTAGGGCAACGTTGTTGAATTTCCTTTCGAAAATATTAATTATACCAAAGAAATAAATTTCCAAAGTATTATTAATGAAAAATAAAATTTCCGAATCTGCTCTTTCAAAAATTTGAGTTTGAGAGCAAACACTGTTGCCAATTTTTTTATACTTTGATATTTAATTCTAATTGTCCTTAGACTTTTGCATTAATATTAGCAAGCAAAATTTGAAATTTGAAATCGTTCTCTCCAGCCACAATAAATTGTAGTTTTACTTAAGGAAAACCAAGCAATGTTGGCAATTTTCGTCTTACTTTGATGTTCAATTGTCGTTATTTTGACATTTTTCCTCTAATATTAGTATGGAAATTATAAAATTCGACATTCTACACGCGTATCCGCAACAAAATCTAATTTTACTTAAGAAAAATTAAGCAATGTTGCCAATTTTCTCTCTTCAACTTTGACTTTCAACTGTAATTATTTTAACGCTTCTGCTCATATTACTTTTTTTACTCGATAAAACACCAACTCATTGCAAATTATATTTTTATTGAGGAAAAGACAGGCACTGTTGCCAATTTTCTCCCATTTTTGATTTTCAATTGTGCTTATCTTGGCGTTGTCGCCATTCTTCCTTGTCTTAAGTCTACATATTTAGATCATTTTGGAGCTAATGGAACTGTACTGAGCATACGAATAATAACGGAGTCATTTTAAAATAAAAACCGTCTTAATGAAGTCTAATTGTTTTGTACAAAACATCAATTCTTAGCGGCTTCAAATGACATACATTCAGCACAATTTAATTATGTGTCTACCGCAGGCTGCTTTATTAATGAACAAATGAATGAAGGAGGTCCAAACAAATCGTTAAATAATTGTATTAAGTGAAGTAATGAACAACATCAAAATACACATACAACAAAATGAGAGAAAAATGTGGCGTAGTAGATTGCGTGATGATGGCGTAAGATTTCGATATGCCTACATACATGCGTGCATACATATTTATATATAAAGAAAATCATACAAAAACAGTCAGATGAACAATTTTACGATCACGATCATCTTTTTTTTTATTAATGTGATGGGCATGAATTTGAAATTGTTTTTTTTTTTTTTCAAATAAAAAAGTATAAAACAAAATACAAAAAATAAATAAAATCAAAATTAAATAAAATTGTATTAAATTAAATAGTATGAAAAATGAAATGGTATATAACGAAAAAATTATTATATTAAAGTAAACCAAAATAAATACAATAAATATAAACAAAACTTAATTAAAACAGGTTAAATAAAATAAAAGAAAAAATTATAGCAATTAAAAAGTGTACAAAAGAAAATAAGAAAATTAAACAAAATACAATTAAACAAACTAATAAAAAATAAAAAATAAAAACATTTAATTATATTAAAATAAATTTAATTAACTCATACTAAATTAAATAAATTAAATTAAAAAAAAAATTTAAATAAATAATTTAATATAAAATAAAGTAAAATACTTCACATTTATGTTAACCCCCACTCACCCTAATACCTCTGCACGTAGGCATACACGTTGCCGCTACGTAACACATACAAGTGCGCTTTAATAAAATACGCAATCAGCATGCTTGTCAATCAACTTTGAAGCTAGTCAATACAATATTATACAATGCATTACAAATGAATGCACTTGTACTTTTGTGGTCGCAGAGTGGAGATTGTTTATCCAACAGGGAGCACAAATAATACGCCGAGAGTGAATCTACGATTGTCATTACCCGACAGCAGCTTTGTAGTTCAATGACCAAGGCAATGAGTGTGCATAGCAGCAGAGTGATCTACGCATCGTTTCAGTCGCGACTGTTTATACATATATAAATGTATGTAAAGGGTTTCATGCACTTGTTTCAGTATATATTTGCTGTTGTAAATATATATACATTCGTACGTATATACACGCATGCGTATAATATAAATTAATTTATTTGTATTTGTACGCATTTGAATTTTTCGAATTGAGATAAAAGTCAAGGTCGCTGCGCAATGGCATAACTCAATTGCGTGTTGGGTGATATAATGTATGTATGTATGTGCGTGGTACAACACAACAAATCACACTATGTGCCTTGAGTGGTCATGATAACGGTGGTATACAGTGGTGAGTTTACAGTAACAGTGCTATACAAAAATATTTAAGCTTAATTAAGTTTAACAAAATTACAATAGTAAAAACCAAACAAAAATAAATAAATCTAAATAAAATCAAAAGTTAAATGAAATGAAATTAAAGAAAGTAAATAAAATAAATCAAAATAAATAATTAAGTAGAATAGAATTAAGTTAAAATAAATAGAATTAAATAAAAAAAAAAATAGAAAAACTAAAATATTAAATAGTGGAGATAAAATAAAGAAAAAAGTAACAAAAATTCAAATTAAAATACGTAAAACAAAATAAAACAAAAAATTATTAAAAAAAAAAAAATTATAAAAAAGGAAACTAAATAAAACAGCGTAAATCAAAGCTTAATAAAATATAATAAAACAAAAAGAAACCTATAAGATATAAAAACATAAAGAAAAAGTGAATTAAATCTAATAAAATCAAAAGAAATAACATAAATTAAAATTAAATATTTAAAAAAAAAAATATTAAAAATTGAACAAAATAAAATAGTTTAGAATAAAAAATAAAAAAAAGTATATTAAAATAAAATACCGTAAAATAATATTGAATTAAAAAAATATCATAAAATAAAATAAGATGATTTTCAAAATATTAAAATGAAGTAAAATAAAATAAAAAGAAATAAAATAAATAAAAATTAAATGAAATGTAATGCAATAAGTAAAATAAACTAAAATTAAATAAAAAAAATTAAGATGAATAAAATATATAAATATTCAATAAATAAATGTATTTCAATCAAGTAAAAATATAAGAAACTAAAAAAAATAAAATTAAAATTGAAAGTAAAAAAAACTAAAATAGAATAAAATGGAAAAAATATGTTAGAAAAATAAAACAAAGTAAAACCTAATAAAAAATGCAATGCAATAATGCAATACAAAAATTCAATAAAAAAAAATTAAATAAAAAAAATTTGTAAAATAAATAAAATCAAATCAAAAATATTAAACAAGATATTAAAAAAACGAAGTTAAATAATTTAAAATTAAAAAAACTGAACTATATAATCTAAATAAAAAAACGGATTAAACGAAATTAAATTAATCAAAAATTACAATAAATAATATAAATTAAAATAAAACAAAAAAATTGAATAATGTAAAATGCAGAAAGGCAAAAAACCTTTAAGTTATAAAAATAAAATAACGTAATTGGAATGAAATACTAAAATAAAATAAAACCAAAATAAAATAATTATTATCAAACCTCAATTAAATTACAATAAATTAAATGAATTGAAATAACTTAAAGAAAATGAGATAATAATAATTTGAAATAAAAATATATTCTTTTGAATTAAAATTTAATTCAATGCAATAAAATTAAATGAAAAAAAATATTTACTTTCTGTTCAAATTCAGGAACCACATTTTTCTAAACACTGCTACTTATTTTTATCTTACTGTGCTCATACACATATACATTTATATAAACATTGTATGTACAACAACTTCAAAGAGTTTTCCACTTTTTTTCTCTCTTGACACATTTCATTTAATGCCTCTTTCATCTTGTTTTTGGGGCGCGACAGGAAGGAAGTGCTATGACATAAAGTAATAAAAAATAAATAAAAAAGAAAAAAATTGCTGATTTCAAAACAAAAGCAAATTAATTAACACAACTTCGAATATGGTAAGATTTTGTTGTTTTTTATATGGCCCACATATGACTTGCCCACAAAAGTCTATTCGTGAGCGTACTCATTAAGGAGAGCATAGCATGTAGGAGTATATAAACAAAAAATATGTATATATATATATGATATTGTATGCGTATGAGCATACATATGTTGCATTATGCATACTACCCTTCAGTATTTCCTCATACAGAATGAATAATTATGACGCAGTAGCGATATTTTCTTTCCTAATTTACAGCGGACAAGCATTTCATGTACTGTTAGCTTTTAGATATATCTGTAATTTTTCGCTTAATTAATTTCATGTAATTTTTTTGCTCGATTGACAGAGAAATTGTTAGGAATTTTTTTTTGTCTAAGAACGATATTATTTTTTGTTGTTGTTGCTGTTTTAATCAAGCTATTATATTTGGTAAAAACATTTAAAATATTTTTTCTTAAAGATACCAAAAGCATTTTCAAGATTTTTTCAAAATAAAATATTTAAGAGTTAAGTAACTTTTGCTGCCGTTGCTCTCTTTGTAAAAAGTGATTTGCAAATCAAATTTATTATATTATGTATATTTTATTTTTTTGTATATAAAAAGTTTTTTTTTAAGGAATATATTTCAAC